GTTTTAGAAAAAATATAAAGAAATTGAAAGTGATTTAATGATATTTTGTCATTTCTTAGGGTGGAATAAAATCTGGACACATCTGAAAGACTGCAATAAAATTTAAGTTCCCTGAGGGAAAAGAACTGCATATTCTCTCTGTTCTGATCCATGGCCTTCGCTTATAATGCTATATTGTGCCCCTTGTGTGTCTTCAATGAACTGTAATTAGTATTTATAATAAAAGAGAAATGCCCCTCTACATGCTGATCTTGTGACTTTGTGGGATTCCATTTTTCCCCATTGTAAAATAATATTACTCCTTTTAAGACTTCAAGCTGTTCTGGTGCATTATTTTAATATTCTAGATGTGAAGAAATGGAAGCTGAGGAATGGAGGAGGGAAATCTGAAACTGATCTTTATCCACGTGTAAGGATGGGATTTCTGATTCCCAATGAATGTAATTTTCAGCATTTCTAAGTAAGAGCAAAATAAGGAAATGCTTGCTTTGAGAAAAATAGTTCTAACTGAAAGCACTTGTGAGAGGGTGGAGTCTGTTGAAAAAAATTGAAACATGTGAAGTTAAAGTCAGCTTCCTCGCTGGCTGAGAAGACCAGAGGCCCACCTGCGCTGTCACTGAGCTTTGGTGCCAGGAAAAATGGACAAGCTTCTGGGAGCAGTATTTTTAATTCTGTGGCTTCAAGTAAGCTGTGAGTTATGGAAGAGAAACTCTAGGATATGTCATAAATTTGCAGGAATGAGAAAATGGGTGTGTGGACAAATTCATGCAGGTAGAAACTTTAAGAAAGACATATGAATTTGTGGACCTAATGACTTTTCTTTTTATTCAGGGGTGAGTGGACAACAGAATGGAAAAAGTGAGCAACAGCAGGTGAAACAGAGCCCTCAATCCCTGGTAGTCCACGAAGGAGCGATTTCAGTTCTGAACTGTACTTATGAGAACAGTCTATTTGACTACTTCCCATGGTACCGGCAATACCCTGGTCAAGGCCCAGAATTCCTGATAGCCAAAAGTTCAGGTGGGAATAAAAAGGAAGATGGAAGATTCACAGTTTCCTCCAATGAAAGTGCTAAACACTTCTCATTGCACATCAAGGACTTCCAGCCTGGAGATGCAGCCACCTACTTCTGTGCAGAAGTGCACAGTGCTCCCCAGGCCCCTGCAGCCTGTACCCAAACCTGCAGCCGGGCCTTCAGTCAAATCCTGATGCGTAGATGAAATATTCACACAGAGACACGCAGACAACCCCCCCAACACGCACACACTCACACACTCTGTTAGTCCATAAAACAATCTTAGTACATTTTAAAAAACTAACATTATGCAGAATTTCTACCTTGACCAAAGGTTAAATTGATTTAGAAAATTAGTCGCAAAAAATTCTCTCTAGAAACTCCCAAATACTTGAAATTTATACACTAAGTTTTAAAATAACCCATTAATTAAAGAAGCGATTACAATGGCTATTAGAAAATATTTAGAAAGAAGATATAGTGAGAAAACTCACAAATAAGTATATACGAGACACAGCTAAAATAGTAGATAAAAGCAAATTTATCTTTTAAATACTTATATTATTATCAAAGAAAAAAGGTTGCACGAAAATTATCTAATCTTTGAACAAAAGAAGATAGAAAAAGAAGAACAAGTTACCCAACATAATCTGAAAGAAAGAAAAAAATAAAAATTCAAATTGTGAACCCTAAAGCATACTGTAGAGATAATCATGAAATACAACGTTAATTATTTTAAAATGATTAATAACGTTGATATACTTGTGACTAGAATTATCAATGGAGTTATCAATGAAATAAAACAGAGGAAATACAAAATATAAATAGGAGGAATGAAAAAGAATACCACATACAAATGCTGTAATGCTAAAAGGATAATGAAGGAATATTATTAACAATTTTATTCCACTGAATAAGAATACGGATGTAGACCCACACAAGTAAGGAAAACTGAGTTTTTGACAAGGTGGAAAGACAATTCAATGAAGGAAAGATAGTCAGATCAGCATATGATGCTGCAAAAATTGGATATTCATACGAAAATAACTGAAATTTGGCCTAAATCTAACACTTGTTAGAAAATTTGAGGACAGTCTAAAAATGGATCATGCATCCAAGTGTAAAATGTGAAACTGTAAATCTTTTAGGAAAAAGCCTAAGAAAAATTTTAAGACCTAGCGCTAGACAAAATGGTTTTAGAGATGATACCAGATGCACACTCCATTAAAAAATAAATAAATTAGATTGCATCAAAATTAAAAATGTTTGCTCTGTGAAAGACATTATTTTTTTTCACATTTTTAAACAAATTTATTAATTTCATGAAACTGATACATACTATCATTATGGGATTAAAGAAATATAGTAAAACATACAGAAGAAAGTTTTAAAATCACCTAAAATCAGTCCTATTCTCCAAAAATAACTGCTATTACCATTAGGTGAATACTATTCCATATGTCTCTGTGTACATATGAAGTCAGAGGAAAGACATTATTAAGAGAGTGAAAAGTACAAACTATAGATGGGCAGGAAATATTTGCAAAACATATGTTTATCAAAGGTCTGGTATTCAGAATATAGTGAATTCTCTAAACTCAGCAGGAAGAAACAAACAAGCCAGGTATAAAATGAACAGAAGACTCACACAGACACTTCACCAAAGAAGATGTGTGATAGGGAAATAAGCCTATAACTAAGTTGTATAAACAAAAGTTCAACATCATTAGCCACTAAATAAGTGCAAATTAAAGCCACGGTGAGCCACTCTACATCTATCAGAATGGCTAAAATAAAACATACTGACAATGCCAAGTTCTGGCAAGGACACAGAGAAATTGAATCACTCATACATTGCAGGTGGGTGAGTGGTCCAGTCATTCTGGAAAACAGTTCAACGGTTTCACATTAAGTTAAGCATTCACTTAGCTTACGGCCCAGCAATCACATTTCTGGGTATTTATATGTGAGGAATGAAAAACTTCTGATCACACAGAGATCTGTACATGAATATTCATGGTAGCTATATTTGTGATGGCCCCAAACTGGAAGACACCCAAATGTTCTTCATTGGATAAATTGATAAATATACTTTAGAGCACCATACAATGACATATTACTTGTAGATCTTTCTCAACTTATGATGGAGTTAGATCCCAATAAACCATTGTAAGCTGAAAATATCATAAGTCAAAAATGCATTTAATACACAAACTTAGGCAGCATCACAGTTTAGCCTAGCCTGGCCTCCTTTAAATGTGCTCAACAATTACATTATCCTCCTATTGAGAAAAATCATCTAACACAAGGTCTATTTTATACTAAAGTGTTGCAAATCTCATGTAATTTATTGGGCACTGTACTGAAAGTGAAGAACAGAATGGCTGAGTGGGTACAGAATGGCTCTAAGTGTACCATGGATTGTTTTACCCTGGTGATCCCGGGGATGGCTGGGCGCTCAGCTTGGTATCCCTGCCCATCACCAGCAGAGAATATCACACTGCATGTCGCTGCTTGGAAAAGATCAAAATCCAAAATCAAAGTATGGTGTCTACAGAATGCATATGGCTTTCTGACCACCATAATCATAAGTTGAAGAACAAAGTCTGTAGTGACTGAAAGGAACAGACTATAGCGACATGCAATAAACTAGGTGGATCCCAAGGGTGTTGTGCTAAATGGAAAAAGTCACACTCAGGAGGCTACATAGTGTGTGATTACACTCATTGGATTATTATGATTCCATACATAATGTATCTTACCCAGACAACATTCTCAAAAGGGAAAAATACAGAGGCAAGAAAGCAATCAGTTGTTTCCAGGAGTTTGCCGGGGTTGCAGGGGTGGGGAGTGTGTGAAAAGGGAAGTTCTTTAGGGTGATGGAACAGTTCTGTTTCATATTAGTGGTGGTTACCAGAACCCATACATGTGATAAAATTTCCTAAAGCTATATATCAAAAAAAAGTGCATATAATAATTGACACATCAGAGTAGGATTATTTTAATAATATTGTATCAATATCAATTTTTCCAGCATATATATATATATATATATGACATTTATAATTATTACATATAAATATATGTGTTACACATAGAACATCATGCTGCTCCCCAGGCTGTTGAGGGCATTCCTGGTCTCCTCTGCTTGGTTACAACTAATTTCACACCAGGGCATCAGCTGCATGTCAGGACTCAGAGATGAAATGGGCCAGAAGAGGAGACGTCTCAACTAAATACAAATTCTCTTCTAACATTCACGATTTATTTTGACCTTAAAAGCAAAGAACAGGCACTTTTTAGACACTCTGTCTGTACTTTGTCTTCTAGTTGCCTTTGGTCCTTTATATTAATCTATCCATTAAAACAATGAAACCACATGGAAGGTTGACAGCTACATTCTCCATGACATGTAACATTATAAAAACTTCAGTCACCAGCTCTGTGCTGTTGACACACACTGAGTGTTTGCAGACCGTAGATACCACATTCTGCAGGAGTGTGTTATAGCACTGGGTCACAGAAAGATCTGACATGCTTCTTGACTTTATTTTACAAAGAGAAAACTTACCAGTCACTAATAAGTGACACTGAACACTTTGGAGCAATGGGATAGAAATTGTGATTTCAGGACAACTCTTAGACGCATGATCTAATAAGTCCAGTTCTGCTTGTGGAGGGAACAGGACTGAAAAGCCTGAAACTCTTCAAAATCTGATAAATAAGACTCAATGTAAGATTTCAAAAGAAACACGATTTTTTTCTTGTTATAACTTTACAAAACCCAAGCAACTGAATAGATTCTGAAAGTCAGAAGGACTGTTTTTTAAATCACATGATGCTAAAGAAACTATTTATTGAGAACCCTAAGTAGAGATCTAGAATCAAGTAAGGAAGGAAGAGATTTGTTAATTATTGGGGATAAGATGCCTTTCACCACGAAGGCAAAGGTCTGTGAGTTTTTCAAAAGAGTCATTAGATTCTGGATGGAGAAAAGTAAGTGTAAGCTAAATAAATGGCCAGGAAGTAGACTGCAAGAAGAGTTCAGACGCTAGACTACATTCTACTTCAAACAGGCTGGCAAGATTATTCAGCTGAAAAATGATCAATATATGTCAACTTGTTTAATCTGCAGTTCCCCTCAGCTCGAACCTTTCATATGAACTGCTTTTCCCATGCCCCTTTTCAGGTACTGCCGAACTTAATGACCAGGGAAAGACCAGTAGACAAAGTGAAGGTTTGTGGTGAGTCACGTTATTCCCAGCTGTGCGCACAGACCACGTGGTCTATGAACAGCACACACCCTCCTTCCTGTTAGGGGGAGGCACATCGGAACCCAGGTACCATGTGCATGTGGTGACAGGGACTCAGAGACACAGAGCTCTCAGCTCAGGCAGAACTAAACACATCTGTGCAGCGGAGCCCATGCCTCATGCCGCTCTCCAGCCTGCTCGGGGTCTTCCTGGCCCTCATCTTCTCGGGTAAGGATGGCTCCAAACATGGGTGGGAATGTTCAGGTTGAAAGGATTGCACGTGGTACCTCCCAGGGACTTGGGGAGGAAAGGAAGATTGGAGAAAAGCAAGCATATTATGATTCAATTTGGCTTTTCTTTGGGACTTAAATTAGCCTCATTCCTACATTATTCTACTCACTACTTCAGCTCTGTTTTCTGATTTTTCCCACAGGATCAGGAGTGGCCCAGACAGTTACTCAAGACCAGCCAGCCGTATCCTCTCACGTGGGGGAGACAGTCACCCTGAACTGTCGGTATGAAACAAGTGATAGCATATACTATATTTTTTGGTACAAGCAGCCTCCCAGTGGAGAGATGACTTTCCTTATTCGTCAGGATTCATCTAGTGGGAATGCCAAGAGTGGCCGCTACTCTGTAAACTTCTGGAAAGCAGAAAAATCCCTCAGCCTCACTATCTCAAACTTACAGCTGGAGGATTCTGCAAAGTACTTCTGTGTTCTCCGAGAAGCACTGTGCTTGAAGTAATAGAATGAGCTGAACAAAAACCCCAGAGCACAGTAAGAGAGAGCTCCCTGCTGCAGGAGCCAAGCCGAGATGCACACCTGCAGCCTCCAGACAAGACACGGCAGCCCTGTGGGTGTGTGGTCTGCGGTCTGGATCAGAAGACTGAATTCTAAATAAATCTCCTTTTATGTCATTTGAGAACAGGTGTCCAGAGGAACTTTCTACTAATACATTCTCAGTCTTGAATGTTCGACTTCAAAGCAATCATGCAGAATATGTGTAAAGTTGTCTAAAGTTAAAAAACTTGCCCCATAATAATTTAAAGCAGGAGCTTCACTTAAAGATGCTCATATCACAACCCTGGGTATGGTAAACTAGAATCATCATGAAAATCACTTCCTTAATCCTTTCCTCTTAAGCTTTGTGTCAGTGAGGGCACAATTAGAGAAGCGGAAGCACATAGAATGAAGGATTCGCTATAAGAATTAAGAACTCAGGCAATTGCTAGAGCTGGTGGAGGAGTGTACATAAAGCTGTGATCTTTGCATCTGGTGTTGAGCCCGAATTCACTGTAACTTAACTGGAGTGACATTTGTGAAGGAAAGTTGGATGTGGACAAATGCGTGGACAAGCTGTGACTTGTAAGGACGCACTAGGACCAGTGAAGACAAGTGGAAAACTAAAGCTGTCTGTGTCTCACCTCCTTCCATCTCACAACAGTGGGTGTCCTTCAGGAGCAGTGGGTGTCATTTGCCATCAGCTACACGCACACTTGGTCCAAGACAAAGAGAAGATGAGGAGGAGATGTGGTGGGAGGTGGAGGAGTTGTGAGTCAACAAGCTGGGCTAACCCACCAGCAGCAACACGTGTGAGCTACCACAGTGCCTGGGGCCCTGCCCCAGCCAGCAAGACATGAAAAATATGTCTACTTCATGACAAGTACCTTCTAAATCTTGCAGAAGTTTCTTTCATGGCCAATCCTAACCCAGGACAAAACAGGGAAGCAAATTCTGGGAAATATATTTCCAGACAGTTGCATTGAGATAGAACAAAGCTACTCCAGTAGCCTCCTTGTTAACCGGCCATCATTCTGTACCTTTTTTTTAACAGCACTACTTTCAAATAAAGACAGCAGCAAAACTATGCTTCCTGCCAATATGATGCAGGTATTCCGCATTCAACCAAAAACAAGCTAACCATCTCCTGCAAGGTGTATGCCAAGTTCATTTATCTATTTTTAGGTGATGTTCTTTGCTCTTTTCACTGGGTCACACTCTCCCATCGAAACCTATTTCTTATCTCCTGAAATGCAATGAGATAAAAGCCTGATGAATGTTAGCACAGCTTATTACATGCAGGCAAATGGGAATTGAGAGCTTAAAATGGTTAATGTGTCCATAAATACATTGATATCAAAATGAAAAAGAAAATTTGACAGCTATCATATTTCTTGTTTGTGCAAATGGCTACATGATTGTGGCTGGTATTTATAACGACCTCTTCCGTTACCCCTTCTGAACGTTCTGATCGTAAGCAAGCAGCTCCATTCCCTGTGATGCTTGGCTTTCTATGAAACAAGCTGCTTGTTCAGGAGCGATAGTACGTGGAATGCAGTCAAGTGGAATAAGGAATTCTGTGAGTCCCCCACTGTGGATTTGGCAGAAGTTTGCAAGGCATCAAAGGCAAATCTGAGGGTCTGTTTAAGTGGAAATAATCTTGCCAGTACTCAGGGAAAATTGGTGTATTGTATTCTGGGAAACATCATTAAGAATGATACTGACTTCTCATCCTGAGCAACAGAAGTCACCAAGGGAATTTCTCAAGTGCTTAGAGACAACAAACACATAAAACTTTCAAGTTGGCTTCTTATGAACATGAAGGTATATTTTACAATTGTCTTTATTAAAAATCAGTGCTGAGAGGGTGGAAAGTCAATGCACATTTATGTAAATTATATCTCAACCTACATTTCGGAAAAAGAATTCTAATGCAGAATATATTAAAAACTCATACACATCAGTAAGAAAGGGAAACACTTAAGAAGAATGGCAAAATCTTGAAATCCTCTTCAGAAATATGACATCCAATAGTTAATAAACACACAAAACCCTTAATATTATCCTTCATTAGGGGAATTAAAGTAAAACCTCAACTGAGCATTTCATCTGTGTCCTCTCAGCAGCCCGACTGCGTCAGTGTAGCTGAGAGAGTGTGAGTGGAAGCAAATAAGGAAAAATAATGACTGTCTCCAGGAAAATAAGTGATTATTAAGTAAATTTCCAAGAAGTTTCTATCATTGAACTGATGTGGAGAAAAGAGCAAATAGTAAAAGGTCACAGACTTGGACACTGAAGGAAAGGCTGGCTTTATTCGAAAAAAGAAAGCTGATATTTATTGAGCTCACTATATGTCAGGCACTGTAGTTTGCATTTCAGATTCATTATCTACTTTGAATATACAAGTATATGAGATAGGTTTTATTGTTCCCATTGTTGTATCTTTGAGAAATAAGACATAACGTTCCTCACTTTGAAAAGCATCTCTAACTGTTACTGTCAACCAGAATGTAACCTCATAATGGGCTCCTAGAGTGTAAGATTTGCATATGGAAAAGCAATTCACCCCAGGACAGGGTGGTTGGGATGTCTCAGTGATGGTGACATTACTGGTTTAAACTAGGGAAGAGGATGCCAGA